GCTTTCTGGCTACCTGAGCCCCCAGTCCAGGCTTGGCAGGATGCCAGATGCTCAAAGCAATCCAGGGAGAGGCAGTGGACGCGCAGTGAGGAGAAAAAGCTCCCCTGTCTCCAAAGGCTGGAAATGTTTGATTTGGCCATGTGGTGGCTCCTAGAGGTGGGAGGGTGGGCAGGGGAGACCCTTGGCTGGAGAGTGTCTGGTGGGCTCAAGACCTGGGCTCTGGACCTTGGGTATAAGTACCCCTTCCCAGGCAGAGATGCTGCTGCCACAGCAGCCTTGCTGGGAGATCAGAGCCAAAGCCACTGGCCCCCAAGGATTTCAGAGAAGGAAGCCGAAGCTCTGGGCACGTGTTGCAGAGGCTGATCACAAGCCTAGCCAGGCCTTCCCACACTCGACGTCTGGGAAGAGAGAGGAAGCCCATGCAGCTGCCTCCCTTCCCTCTCTGTCCTGAGGAAGTTACTGGCCCATTGCCAGGATTGAAGGGGCTCCCTGGCCGCTCCCCCACAACCAGGCAGGCTTGTACCGGGAGGGAAGACAGGAGGTAAATAGGTCCAGGACAGGATGGGCAAATGAAGGAGGGGAGGAGTGGTGTGTGGGCTCACTAATGCTCTGCCACGGTGTCCATGCTCGGAAGTTTATAGTGACACCTGTCGCATCTCTGGCACTTTGCTAAGCAAGCCCCTGGGATGGGGTCCAGCCTCCCCTAGCCCTGGACGTCCCATCCCCTCTGAAGATCCATGGCCCAGTGGGGCTGTGCAAGAGCCCAGGAGGTGCCAGAAGCAAGAGGGACAGCTATTAAAGAGTTCATGTCACAGAAGGGGAAACTAAGTCACCATCTGGCAAACTCTAGCAAAAGTGAGGCAGTGTGGTCGTTACGAGCCAGGCTCTTGAGTCAGATTCCCTGGGTTTGGATCTAAGCTCTGCCACTGTGCAGGATGTGTGCCTTGGGGTGGGCTCTTCCAGTGTTCTGTGCCTCAGTTTCCACCTAGGATCACTCTAAGGATTAGTGAGTGACACTATGGAAAGGGCTTCCTTCGGCTGCCCCGGCATAGCCCTGCAGCTCTAAGGCCCCGTCCTTGCTCTCACCCCAGCCGCTCTCTCCTTCTGGAGGAGACTGGAGCAGCCGCAGAGCACTCCCCGCCCCCATCCTCACATGTGCTCGGCCCGAGGAAGACCTGTGGGTGGCAGCAGCCCGGTTTATTAAGCCAATAAAATCTTAAGTGCATGAGCTCCAGAGACCCCTGAGGTCTTTTTATGTGTTCGGAGGAGCCAGAGGGTTTCCTGGCCCGAGTCTTTCGTGCTGCATGAACAGGTGGGTGCCTAGCAGTCTGCCCTCTCTCTTGTGTCCCCGCCTGAGAGCCAGTCCTGCCACCCACCCCCATTGTCCGACATTCCGAGGGCGTGTTACTGAGCTGGGCAGACTCACACCCCTGCCCTCGGGGCAGGTCTGGTCATCCGCCTCCTGCCCCTGGCACCTCGTCCTCATCAGACGTTCTCAGCTGTGGTCCCCACACCATAGAAGGTCACAGCAGGACGTGCGTGCCCACCCTCATTCTCCGCATCGTGGAGAATCTCCTCTTGGCCTCTTTTTTCCAAAATCTGCTCTTCCCTGGTCTCTTCCCCGCCCCCTCCCCTTTTCTTTCCAGTCCTCTTCTTTGTCTCCTGGAACTTTTCCTGGTGTGCCTCATTTCTGGAACCTGCAGTGGCTTCAGAGACGCGTCCCCACCTCGCTGCACACACACAACGCTGAGAATCGATTCCGAAAACGATTAGTTACAGCACAGCAGCACTGCTCACTGTGGCATTTTGCTTTGCAGTTATTGATACATCATCAGAATTGAGAAAAGACAGTCAGGAAGAGGGAGCAGGGGTGAAGGGAGGGTGCAGATGCTGTCCCGCCAATGCCAGGGAGCCGAGCTCCAATGGGGCTGGGGTGGGGGACTTTGAGGCCCAAGTGGAAGCCTCAAGGGGCTTGGGGTGTCCTTGAAGCAGCCCCACCCAACTTCACATAGACTCAGGACGGCCAATGTGTTCCAGGTCTGTGACTGTCTGGTCCTGTCCCCAAGTAGACCGGTGGCCCCTTGCTGCCTCCTTCCTCCTCTTTGCTGGGGCACAGCTGGGCCCCTCCCACCCCGCCCAGCAAGAACTGTGTGCTGGGTGGGGCATGGAGGTGGGGGACGGCATCTCTGGTTCTGGTGATGGAACAGGGTCAACTCTAGGAGTCCGGTCTGGGAGAGACCCTGGAGGTCCCAGATCAGTCAGAGTTCACCAGGGAAACAGAACCAGTAGGATCCAGACAGACAGACTCGGCTCACTCAATCCTGGGGCTGGCGAGTCTGATATCTGTAGGGCACGCAGGACTCTCAGGCAGGAGCTGATACTGCCATTTTGAGGCAGAATTTTTTTTCCTTCAGGAAACCTCAGTTTCTGCCCTTAAGACCTTCAACTGATAGGAGGACGCCCACCACCCACGCTGGGGAAGGTCACCCCCTTTACTGAGGTCAACTGATTGTAGACATTAACCACAGCTACCAAATACGTCACAGCAACACCTATATGTGGGTTGAACTGAGTCACTGAGGACTGTGGCCTGGCCAAGTGGACACATGAAACTGACCGTCAAATGCCCTGAGACCCCAAGCTCTGCTGTCTGGGACTCAAGTGACAGGGCCGGGGGGCCGTGAGCTTCTGGAAATGGGCTGCAGTATTTGTGTGTTTTATGGAAAATGGGTCCCTAACTCCCATTAGATTTTTTACTGTGTGTGGGTGAGAGCTGAGGCAGTGTGGGGAGTGGGAGTAACTTGTCTGTGTCACCCACGAGCAGCAAAGCAGTGCTCCCCACACGGGAAGCCCCAGACCCAGGCAGAGGCCAAGTGAGGAATGCCAGAGAGAGGGGGACGTCCCTAGTGCCAACTGCCCCGTCTCGTGGCCCAACAGTATAGAGACAAGACCCTTGGCAAGCTGTGGAGCTGTCCTGATGGGGGGACAAGGGGGCAGGAGAGAAATGGGAGACCACTAGGCAAGGCAGGTGACATGGGGTCTGTCCTGGGGGGAGTGTGGAGGGAGGATGGTGGGCAGGAAACTTGAGCTTGGTAACAGTTTGATCTGGGGACACAGTGAGGCCTGGCCCTGGCCTCGGCAGACCGGCAAGGCAGAGGCTTGCACCACAGTGTGGAGGCCCGAGAGGCCACGGAGGCTCAGCGTGTTCAGAGAGGGGCCTGGAAAGGGGGTGTGGCCAACTCTGAAGGAAGCTGGACTGAACCCCGAGGCCTCGAGGGGACTGCAAAGGATTCTGAACAACTTTTGTACATTTAAAATCTAACTCTGGGGGCAGGATGGGACATGCATTTTAAGGAAGAGAGACTTAAGGCCAGGAGCTCCAAGGGGTCCCAACAAACAGTCCGAGGGGACAGCCAAGTGGCACCTTCATGCATGGTTTTATCCATCCGTCCTGAGCACCTACAATGTGCCAGGCACTGTTCCAGGCACGGAGGGCGCGTGTCACCAGGAAGCATGCATTCTAGGGTGCCGATACTCGTGAACAAATGAATAGATGACACTAACTTACGATCGTGGTGACAAAGGCCGTGAGGAAGTGAGGAAGGTGATGGGGTGGAGGGTGCCTGGGGAGGCTTGAATGAGGGGACATTGCTCAACACTTGAAGCTCTCAAGGGAGAGCATCGGAGGAGGAACAGCAAGGGCCCTGAGGTCAGGCTTGGCGTGTCTCCATAGGGCACGTGGGGCCCGTGGCTGGGGCAGAGGGAGCTGGGGGGCGACGTACGTGGAGGCAGGTGGATGTTGGGGGTGGGAGCGGTGCCCACGAGGCCCCATCCGCCGGCTGGGTGAGGCGGGCCCACGGGAGGCAGGGTGAGGAGGAGTCTGAAGTCGCGGCTGAGACCGCTGGCCGTGGGACCCCCTCTGCTTCCTCTCTGCTCTCCTGCATGTGCAAAACCCATCGCCAGGTGCTTCGAGGGCCACAGAGCTAAGCTATGCTCTGTCTTAGTGAGTCTGGGCTGCTAGGATATCATAGACCAGGGGGCCTAAACAACAAACGTACTGCTCGCAGTTCTGGAGACTAGGAAGACCAAGGTCAAGGTGTCAGTGGATCTGGTGTGTCCTCGATCAGGAGTGAAGAGAGAGAGAGAGAGACTCTTCTTACAAGGGCACCGATCCCATCGTGAGGCTCCACCCTCATGACCTAATCAGCTCCCAGAGGCCCCACCTCCTAGTTCCATCACACTGGGTTAGGCCTCCATGCATGAGTTTTGGGGAGACGCATCCACAGTAGACCCAGTCCCTACTTGCAGCCAACGCAGGCCAGCAGAGCGAGCTGCTAGGAGGCAGAAGCCAGGTCCCCCCTCGACTTTGCCGTCCACTCCAGTGTCCAGCTGAGAGCTAGTGACCAGAGACATTCGCACTGTCAGCTGCCAGAGCAGGCTTGGGACAAAGAAGGAGAAATCACGCTGGCTGTGATGATGCCAACAGGTTTTGATGAGAGGGCGGACTTGCTACATGCTAGACTGCAAGGTGCAAGCCACAGGGCCTGGTCCACCCTGCACAGGACATGCCATGTCCCCCCGGCATGGAGCCCAGTGCCCCCGGGACTGGTAATAGGGGTGGAGCTGGTGATCTTTCCCAACAAGGCTCTGTTGGCTCGAGAAGAGTTGGGGCCTGCCTTGGGGACAGGTGACGTAGGCCCGTTGGCACTCTCCCTTCCAGGCCCAGGGTTGGTTTTGATATTGTGAGTCTCACTGCAAGATCTGGAGCCACAGAGCCGGGAGCATCTTTCCCCATGAGGTGGTAAACAGAGTCCCCTTGTTATAACTTCTCCCAGCCTAATGTTTTCGCGTTTGCAGCGTTCAAAAGATGTCGTTCCCATGACACTCTGTCCTGTGATATTTTTAATCAAGAGCGCGGGGAGAGCGTGTGTCTGATGTACTCCAGATATTCGAGATTGAAAATGGTTTTGTTCTCTTGTTTTCTTTTTCAAATGCAGCGTGAAGTCAGAACAGCCAGAGGAAATTCTACCAGCGTTTCCCTCGAGCTGGTCTGCAGGCCTCTTCAGCGGGGAACCTGTCCCAGCAGCGGCCCCTTCTGCAAACAGGTGCGTACCCCTTGATGCGGCTCTTTTTGCACCAAACGCCCTGGTTGCCAGCTCTGGGGCTTCTCAGGAGCCTGGGGCAACCCATAGCTGTTGGGGGCAATGCGTGGCCAGGTGTTAACGGGCGAGCTGTGGTTTGCAGAGAGGAGGGTCCGCACCAGCCCCCACCACTTGCTATGTGTTTTCTACCTGCCCTTACCCAATCCCCTCACTAAAATGCAAATCAGCGAGTGTATGATAGATAGTTAATAGACTGATCAGCCAGCAAGGGAGGTAAGTAGATAAATAATTTTAATTATCCTTGGGTTGCCCATCAATTCCCTCACTGCCTTTTTATTAAACTCTCTGTTTACAGGAGTCATTTATATTGCGTGTCATTTTGCGAATCCCTCCCCCACCGCTTTGGTGGCTCCCACCAGGTCTGACCTAGGCTGTAATCACATCATGTGACCGCAACATCCTTCCCTGGCAAGGCCTGTCTCGGGCACAGGGGTCAAAAGCTCTGCCCAGGTAGCCAGGCTCGGTGGCAACAGGATAGACTGCGCTCAGCTCATGCGGGCCCTCTCTCTGCTCCCCGAGGTGGCCGCAGCCTATATTCAGGCCTGACTTGAAACCTTTATTATACTTGGCACCTGTGCTGCAGGTGTGAGCTCATCCCTCTCCCCAGGGATGGCCTTGGTCTATTAATAGCTTTGGCTGAGGTTTCCTCACTGCTCCGAATGCCAAGAGAGTAAGTGGGTTAATAAATATAAGACTAAACTCCCTCAGAGGCCTGAGGCCAAACCCTCGCCCAGACTCTCCAGGAGTTGCAGCTCTGGGGGCCCCGGTTGAGGGGAAGGGTTCCCATCATCCCGGCCCCCGTCTGATGGAGGCCCAATGCCCAGGTTGGTGGGCTGAGGACCGATCCGACCGTGGCAAAGCCCTTCCCGGTTCCCACGGAGTCGGGATGGAGCAAGGCGCTGGTGGAAAGGCCGCCACCAGGTGGGGCAGAGGAGGTCTGCTCAGGTGTGGCCTTCCTGCGTCTGGGCGGCTTTCTGGCACCTTCTGTCCCTCCTGCACCTTTTCTCCATTGGTGTCGCTCATGTCTGTCCATGCCTGCTCTTCAGCATGGAAGGGAAAGGGAGAGGGCGGTCCTCGGGGACAGTTCCGGAACACGGTCCTGCTCATCTTTCTCTGTCATTCCTGGGCTCTGTGGCAGGAGTCGTTTAGCCAGAGTTGGAAGAACTCATAGGAGGAGAGCAGAGCTGGGAAGGGAGCAGGGAGGGACGGGGCTCCCCGCGCCCGCATTCACTGGCTCAGCTGAACCTCAGGGGCGTCGAGTGAGTGCGGGCAGTGGCTGCTGTTCTGCACCGTGTGGGCCGCCAGCGAGCACTGCTCAGCGCCTTCCGTCTGGGGAGGGTCTCGCATCCCGGTCTCGTTTATTCTCGCGACGGTGCTGGGCGTGGATGCTCCTGGAGGCTCCAGGGAGGTCACAGCCACCCGGCTCGGAGCTGGCAGAGCTGAGGCTCACACCTGGGTTATCTGGCTGCAGCGGCTGGTGCCTGCAGGCCCCATGTCAGAGGTTCTCCACAGGGCAGGGGCCCTATTGGTTGGGCTATTCCTCTGGGTGTCACCTGTTGGAAATGAAGTCAAACTGTGCATGTTGCTGCTTTTACAAAATGTAACTCTCGCTGAGCTCTAGCAGGGTGGGCTGGGACAGCAGGGCCTGGGCAGCCCCCAGCTGCAGGCCCGCACAGCCACTGCCCGGGGCTGGACGCTGGAGTCGGCAGCGGGTCTGCCCCGGATGGTGAGCCGGGCCGCACATGCCCTGCTGGCTGTCCTGCCCTCCTTGGAGTGGGGCTGCCTGCCCTGGGCACAGAGGGAATGCGGGCTCAGCCAGTGGAAAGTAAACCTTCCTACGTTTTACCTGGTGGAATTAAAATCTGAGAGATGGCCCAGCGGGGCTTCCTGCCATATCAGGAGTTTGCTCTGCTCAGAGCTGCACGGCCACCCTGGTCCCTCTCTGGCCCACGGGCTGGAGGGAGGAAGAGGCAGGGCCGGGGAAGAGGCAGAGAGGGTTGATGGGCGGCGTCTCCGAGGGCTTCCTCCCGGGGCTCATCAGGGGCAGGCTGGTGGGGCCCCCCCAAAGTGGGCAGACGAGGGGCAGGGCCTGTGCCATTCACTAGGGAGCGGAGGCAGACGCACAGCTCTCTGAAACCGAAGAGCAAGACCCATCGAGACAGTTCTGCATCAGTTTGGTTTTTCTGGTTATTTTGTGGACGTTTTTAGGGTTTCTTACCTGTTTTGGGGAATTGGGTGGGTGGAAAAGAAAAAAAGAATGAATTAAAGACAGGACCAAACTGACCCCCTGCTGTGCCTTTGCCCGGTTACTTGGGCCAGGTGTGGCCTCCTGGGCTCCAAACCTCCCTGCTCCTCCCCTCCGGCCACACCAGTGAGACCCTTCACCAGCTCCTGCTTTGTCTGCCTGGTCTTCACCAACTGAGCCACCCAGGGATTGATTAAAAATAGCCACGGCCCACCTGCCCTGGGTACCCGCCCTGTTCAGTCAGCATCCTTGAAATCAGGGATTTCAAGGTTGTCTGGAGAGCTTCAGCAGGATCAATATTTTTCTTTTCAAGTTAAAGTTAGCTCTTAGTACTTTTTTATTATTACATAAGCAATAGATGTTACTTGTAGAAAATACAGAAAAGAAATGAAGGGGGAAACACTCCCTACAATGAAACTGTCAGAAATAACCAGGCTTTACACCTTGGTGTGTGTGATGATCCAGATATTTTCCTATACATAAGAGTATGCAAAACATTTTGCAAAAAAAACCCCCATATTTTGCATAAAAGCATCATGTTATATATATTGTTTTTGTAAACTATTGTTGCTGTTGCTTAATGGTATTTTCAAGTACATGTTTCTAGGTTGATATCCACCTCATTTTTAATGATTAAATATTATTTCATAGCATAGAATTACCATTATTTACTTAACCGTTCCCCTCAGGCCTGTTTTCACGTACTTAAAATAGTCATTGGCTACTGACCGTATTTCCAGAACTCTATGCCACACTCTAAGAAACCAGAAGATTAATTTTCCAAACAGGAATTAGGAAATGATTATTCACATTATAAAGGAGTCTGTAAACATATACTCCAAAGAGCTTATTTGAAAAATAGGCTCCCTCAGGGCATTAAAACATGTTACAATGTATCAAACCCCAACTCACATCCAGTTGTACAGAGGGTGGCCCATCTGGCTTCAGGTCCCTTCCTGCTTCATGGAGGTCTTTCCCAAGTCAACAAGGTGCATGCGTGTGCGTGTGCACACATGCACACATGCATACACATGTGCGTACATACACAGGTGCACACGTGTGTACATACAGAAGCCCCCACAGACACACACACACATGCACATACACCCAGTGTTTGGAAGCTTTTCCCCACTGTCAGCTGAAAGGTGATGTTAATTAATTCATTATTAATCACATCTATTTATCAGATGTTCTGCTCCTAGCAACCATTCCTGGGAAATAAACTATCATTTGTCTCTAGAGGATAAAAGGAAATAGATGTTGATGAGGTTGGGCAGGTCAGTGCCCCCTTTCCATGTGACTTATTATTTAACAAGACAAACAGAGAAACCTCGGAAGAGAACATGCTTAGGGGACTGTTCATAAAGCCAGCTTTCAAAGAAACCCAAAACGCCAGGCCTGCAGGATAGTGTCTCCAGGCCCAGCACCTGGGTGGGTGCATGGTGGTGTCAGCATCTGTGAGTGGCATTGTGAGCACCCGCCAAGAGCAACTTTGCCCTGAAGGCCCCCAAAGGCCCACTACTTCCCCAAGACCACCCAGAGGAGAAAGCAAAGGCTGGGCCTTGGGAGAACATTGCCCATGGGCGAGGCATTAGTGTGTGTTTTTGCAACTATCCACCGTACAATCAGTGAACATATTTCTTGTATATTTATATTCAGTGTCAGGTATATATATTTCTAGAAATAATTTGCTGGATTGAAAGTCACATAACATAAAAGTGAACTTTTTTTTTTTTTTTTCCTTTTTGTCTTTTTTTACTAACCGGTAACAGGATTGCAACCCTCGGTGTCGCTCCCGTACCGGGGACCGGCAACGGGATCGCAACCCTCGGTGTTGCGCCCGCACCACGCTCAGCCAGTGAGCGGGAACCGGTCACCACATGGGATCCGAACCCTCGGCGGGAGCGCCGCCGCACTCCCAAGCGGCGCACTCTCCAGTGTGCCACCGGGCTGGCCCAAAAAGTGAACTTTTTAAAGGGCACGATTCAGTGGCACTCAGCACGGTCACAGTCCTGTGCAACCACCACCTCCATCTAGTTCCACAACGTTTCCATCACTCCAAAGTAAAAAGCCTTACTCAGGTACATTTTTAATTAGTATTAGAGTTGCTTTATTTTTAAAAGTGCCCCAACTACCACCAGCCCTTCCCCCACATTTCCCCCCAAAACAGAAACTTTACAGCCCAGGGCAAGTTCAACAGTGCGAAGCCTGAGATCTGGTGTCGTTCACTCACTCACTCATTCATTCACTTGGCACTTCACTTTTTTTTTGCAGTACCACCCTGGCTCTTAGGGCATCACGCTGGGCAATTTACTTAACCTCCAGGCCTCAGTTTCTTATCTATAAAATGGGATAACAGCATCTTTCTTGAAGGGAAGGAAGGGATATTTATCTTATGTGACAAACCAGCACAGCGCCTGGCACACGGTGAGAGCTCAGCGGGCGTACACGTTTTCTTAAATTTATTTTTTATTGTGGTGAAGCACACATAACAAAAGCTGTCGCCTCAGCCCTTGTAGCTCACAGCATAAGGACATCACCACGTGCGCAGCCGTCACTACCATCCACCTCCTGAACCCTTCTTCTTGCAAAACTGAAACTCGGTCCCCATGAACCCCCCACTTCTGCCTCCCTAGCCCCCGGCAACCCCCACTCTACTCTGTGTCTCTGTGATTCTGACTACTCCAGGGACCTCGTG